GGGCCGCCCCGCAGCGCGCCCGGCCCGGCGGCTGCCGCGGGGCGAACGGGGGGTCCCCGCCGGGAGCCGGGAGAGCGGCTCGGCCGGGCGTCCTCCGGGAGGCTCCGCGGGGCTGCCCCGGCCGGGGCGAGGAGCCAGCGCGGCCCCGCCGCAACAATGCCCGGCGTGGCCGTGGGGCTGCGGGGCCGCTGCCCCGGGGGTCCCCGCCGCCCGGCCGGGGGTCACCGGGGACCTGCGGCGCAGAGGTGGGGGCGAGCCCAGCGCTCGCCTCCAGAAACGGGGTGAAAACCATCCGACCCCGCGGCGTGGGGCCGGAGCCCACCGCGTCCCGCGGTGCCAGGGCAGGGGTTTCGTGCTGGGGGGCTCGGGCCGGGGGCTCGGACGGCGCTGGCTCATTGCCGCGCTCCACACGGGGCCCAGCCGTCCTCACTGGCCGCCCCTGGGCTCGCTGGGTCGTTTCACGGCGGACAGGTGGGCTGTAAGGGCTGGCACGGCATCGTCGGCGGTTCTCGGTTCAGCCGGGATGAGAAAATGGGGGGGAAATGGTATAGCATCCCAAAGACATGTTCCTTGAGGTGGGGTGAGCTTTGAGAGGGAGGGCGAGCTAAAATGTGTCTTTCTTGGTGTGTTTTCACATGCAATTGAGTTAATGCAGCGCAAGGAGTTGTAATTTGTTAGGCAGCTGGTGCTCTGCAGTACTCGGGGCTTCCTTCGGCTGTTCTGTAGGACAAGAATTTTGCTACTGCCTTTAAATGATGAAGTTACCTTGTCGAGCAGCAGAAGTAGCAACCCAGGGGTTGCCCTTCCCTGCCTTCCCCTCCTTCCCCACACCTCCCATCCTCCATATTGACTCGTTGCTTTTCTTTAAAAACCTCGTACTTGATCGGGTTTCCTTCTCAAGGTGGTTTTCTCATCTTCCTTTGATGACCTGAAATTTTCCCAGGCTCGTAGCTTGCAATTTTGTTGGCGTTAAATGAACCTTTTCTCAACGGCTTGCCTACAAAAAGCAGTGCCAGAACTGCGCTCCTGTGCTAACATGCCCATCTGAAGCAAGAATGCAGTCCAGATGCCCAAAATATTAGGGTCAGCGATGCATCTGGATTCCCCTAGAGCTACTCGAGGCGACGCGGCGTATTTCTGAAACACAGAGATTTGTGAGGAATGTGGCGCTGGTATGTCACTTGAGCTTAGGAAAGCCACCTGTGTTTGATTAAGGTGCAGTCCCGCTTCCAGGACTAGCTGGGTATTCTTTCCAAATAATTTTCACAAGCCTTAAATTCCTGTTTGGGGATGAGAATTTCCTAGATTTATAGCCAGATAAAAACTGCGTTGCCTTAGTGTCACCTGGTGCGTGTGCTGCGCAGAGGACTTGGTGGCAGTGCAGAAAGTGTGTCCTGTGATACCTGAGTATGGATCTCTTGGGTGTGGGGACTGCCACATCCCAAGGTGTAGGAAAACCATCGGTCTTGGGTAATGGGATTCTGTTTTAGGAGAGCATGAGCTGTATCACTGATGCTGAATTCTGGATGTACGGTTTTGGATGTTCTGTAACTGTCATTTTTAGCCTGTGCCTGGTTTGAGCCCAGTTCTGCGCTCTTGGAAGTCACCAAGAGCTTTGCTGTTGATTCTGCTGAAAAAAAAAGAGGTGTTAGGACAGTAATGGTGCAGTGGTTTGTAATCTTAGAGTGTTTATTTCCAGTGATACTCGCTTATTTTTTTTCTCCTCTGTTTCAGCCGAACAAACTTGTTTACCTTGGAGCTACAAATAGTGGTGATTTGAGATTTGAGCTCGTCCCCCACTGCTCCCGCGCAAGCAAGGACCAGAAAAATGAATATCCAGGGGAAAGGCTTCCCCTTGGACCTCGGAGGAAGCTTCACTGAAGATGCTCCAAGACCACCAGTTCCTGGCGAGGAGGGGGAACTCGTGTCCACGGATCCAAGGCCAGTTAGCCATGGTTTCTACTCCGGTAAAAGTGACGTGGTTAGAAATGAGATGTCCACAGCAACACCGAGGCGCTCCGATTTGGATTTGGGGTACGAGCCCGAGGGGAGTGCTTCGCCAACTCCACCCTACCTGAAGTGGGCCGAGTCGCTGCACTCCTTGCTGGATGATCAAGATGGAATCAACCTCTTCAGGACTTTCCTGAAACAGGAGGACTGTGCGGATCTGCTGGACTTCTGGTTTGCCTGCAGCGGCTTCAGGAAGCTGGAGCCGTGTGTGTCTAACGAGGAAAAAAGACTCAAGCTGGCAAAAGCCATTTACAAAAAATACATCCTCGACAACAATGGCATTGTGTCCCGGCAGATCAAACCAGCCACAAAGAGCTTCATCAAAGACTGTGTCGTGAAACTGCAGATTGACCCCGACATGTTTGACCAGGCCCAAACGGAGATTCAGTGCATGATAGAAGACAATACCTACCCTTTGTTCCTTAAGTCAGATATTTATTTGGAATACACAAGGACAGGTGGGGAAAGTCCAAAAATTTATAGCGATCCGAGCTCAGGGTCTGGGACAGGTAAAGGACTACCTGGTTATCTGCCGACTCTGAACGAGGACGAGGAGTGGAAGTGTGACCAAGAGGCCGAGCCCGAGGCCAGCCGGGACTCGGCTCCTTCCAGCAGGCTCACGCAGAAGCTGCTCCTGGAGACGGCCACGCAACGCGCGGCCTCGGCTCGGCGCTACAGCGAGGGCAGGGAGTTCAGGTGGGTGAGCACCGGGGCAGCTCGTGAACGGATTGGGGGAGCCACCGTGGGGGTGGTGGGAAGCTTTGGAGGACCACAGGTGGTGGGGAGCATCCGCATCGGTGCGGGCTGGCGTTGCCGGGTGGTTCGATGGTGTGCAAAGCTTTGTTTGGAAAGTAGTCGCAGGTTGTTTTAAAGGTGTCTCTGGCTGTTCCTGTCTGGTTGCGCCAGATCATCCCTGCAGCACTTTCCTCACCTGGAGGAACTGCTGCTGGATGTGGGCTGGAGGCAGGTAGTGCAGAGCCATGGGCAGCCCCCATGCACACACAGGCAGCTGAGCCCTTACCTGCACAAGCAGAAGGTCAGTGCTCAGGTACTGTAATGTGGACAGGTACAGCTGGTGGTAACACTGCTCTGTGTAGAAATTGTTGTCATGAGCTTGCAGGACATCCCTTGGTACCGTGGACAGGAGTTCACGGTGCATTCATGGTGCTCCCTGATAATGGTACTGCTTTGCAAATGGGATTCCCAGCACTGAATTATAGCAGTGTCAAACACAGAATCCCCAAATCCAGTTAAAACCATTCCCTGCTGCAGCTTTTTTCCCTTCATGAGAGTAATTGGTGGGTTTTTTTCAACTAGAGGACTTGCAGTTTTGCAGCCTATTTTTTTTCTGGGTCCCCCACCCACTTCCAGCCAACATGGATTTTGAAACTTGCTGAGAGCTCAGTTAAAATTCCAGACAATTAACTTAGCAGGGAGCTCTCTGGGATCAATAAGCGTGTGTGTGTCTAACCCTTGCTGAATCAACAGAACCCGGCCAGAACACATTCCTACTTTCTTTTTTTTTTTTTCCCCCTTTTTTAAATAAAATCTCCTTGTTTTAAGACCTGCTTAGGCTAAAATCTGACGCTTTGTGAAGATTATGAAATGAAGTAGCTGAACTGTCCTCTTCAAAGCCTCCTGCCTTATGAAAAGCATTTCTGTGTTTAATCTCCCCCGGCCATCCCTTTAGGCTGGCAGCTGGAAGCGCATCCCGCCCTGCGCGAGGTCTCGGTGCCTTTCAGCTGGAGAAATGTTCTCGGCTTGGTTCTTGTTTCCTTACAGATTTTGAGGAGGGTATGTTACATGTGAAACTCTTTGGGGGGGGGGGGGGGGGGAAAAAAAAAAAAAAAAGGAATTCACGTGGACTCCTGCTGTTTTAATCAGTCAGAAAAAAATATCCCAGTGTCTTGGGACTTTCCCATGGAGTTAATAAAAACTTCAGCATGTAGTGAAGTGTGTTTTCACTGAGTGGTTGGGTGCTCACCATAAATGAAGGATTAGAAAAGGCTACAACTTCAGTATCTTTTTATTTAAGCAGTAATGGTGTTAAGATTGAAAATAACCTACTTGAGGGTCAGCGGTTTTTAGTTTCCTTATTACACCAGGTAGCAAATCCTGCATGCGACAGGATTTTAACTCCAACTTAAGGCAGAAAGTGCACTTTACCCATTACCAATATCTGTGCCAGACTGTAAAATGGTTTAAGGAAGGTGCTGTGAAGCAGAAGTGTTTTGGAGTAGAGTTCATTGGTCCTGGGCATTTTCATACCAGATTGGAACAACACAAAACATAAATCTTTACCTGGGGGATGGAGGTCAGAGAAAATGTGTGGCTATTAATTTGTAGTGTCGGACAGCCTGTCATTGTGGCTACTGACACTCTGCTGACCTGTGGGGTAGGGAGGCAAGGAAATGTTTACCATTCTCACCAAAGCAGAAGCATTTCTCAGCTTGGAATAGCTGAAGATAAGGGATTTATTTTATTTTTTAAATGTTGGTCTGTCAGCTCCAGTAGCATCCAGAACATCGCCGTGGAAGGTGCTGCTGAACTGCATAATCTCTGCCTTTTTTATTCTAAAAACTGCTGAGATACTAATTTATGAGGTGATTGTTCCTCTTTGTGCAAGACCTTGTGGTTGAATTAACCTTCTTCCCGGATGTTGTATAGCAATAGTTGCCTTGAATAAGCTCATTTTTAAGCTGTAGCTTCTCTATCCTGCAGACTTCTTGTTCATTTACTTTCTCACCTGAGGAACTGTGCTGGAAGCCGGTGGAGCTGCTTGCAGCAGGAAGTGATGGTTGCTTTCAGCATTTGAAAAGCTGGGTCCCAATTTATTTTGAAAATTTCCACAAACCTCCTTTTTTTTTTTTTTTTTGGCATACGTGTGGAAGAATTTCTCATTTCTGTTCTTTGGGGAATGTTGAAATAAGCTGTTTTGCATTATATCTCAGGGCCTGTTTAATCTTCCCAAGACTGAACTTCTATTCCTTGGCTTCCATGGAAACCCTAAATAAAGAGGAATCTAAGCAAATGCAGTAGAAGTATTTCCCTGTTAGCAAATGAGCATCTTGAATCAGCTCCAATTTTTTTTTTGCAGCAGCAGAAAGTTCATAAATCTTGATGCGGTAGCTCTGCTCTCGGGAGAGCAAATGCAAAAAAATTCCTCAAAGGGCAGAAAGACAGCCCGTTATTAGCGTTGGGTATTCCGAAGGTGTGCAGACGTGCAGGCACATTTGGGAACATCCCGAAGCCAAAAGCATCGCCGTTACCCACTGTGTTTTTGTGCGCGTCGGAAAAGGCCAATAGTCATTATAGTTCGGCTCCTGCAAATTAATTGGACATTGGTTATGGATCAGTGAACTTCAAAGAGAGTAACCCCCGAAGATCTCGGGCATTAACTCGCAGCTTCCGAAAGTGACACTAACGTGGTTGTGAGGGCGGCTAAATCGTTCATTAACCTTCTTCCGACACGCCGGGACAGCGTTCCTCGGAGCTGCAGAGCAGAAATTAAACCTGTGCCTGAGAACTGCCCTGCAGCCTGGTTTTTGACTGCTCCAGGAAAAACGCACGCAGCTTAAAGAGTTGGAAATTGGGTGTTTTGTGGTGAAGGGTTGTGTCTTTTGTTGGGGTGGGTTTCTTCTGCTGTCTCTTTAGCTCTGCGTGGGAGGGCGCTCCCCTCCCACTCCCAAATTATTGGAGAGCAGCTCTCACAGCCATTGCCTTTGCTTTCCTCCCATGGTGGGAAGTGAGAAGAGCGTGTGGTGTTACCTGCCAGCAGCTCTGTCTCCATCTCTCCTGAAAACAAAGAAAACTGGGAGATTTGAGTTGGTTCTGCCAGTTGTTTTGGGTTTTGACCCATTTCATGAAGCACACGATGCACTGAAAAGGAAAACTGGACGATGGTGATGAGAGGACACAGTGGTGGTGGGTGAAGTCTCCAGTTGCTTGGTTTTGAGGAGTGTTGTGGTCGAGCTGCTGGGCACAGACGGAGAAATTTCTCAACGGGGTCTTTGATATACACAGGGGGTTGGTTTTTTTAAAGGAAGCTGGCTCCAAGCTCTAATTTCCACAGTGCTGAGCTGACTAAGCTCACGGCATTTCACAAGTGTTGGTGGTTCAAATGGAAAGGGTGGGTGATGTGGTTCTCCACCAGGCCGGTAGAAATCACCAGGAGAGCCCTTGTGCCTGTGCCCACGCACTGGCAGCCTCTCCGGACGTGTGGGAGGGCAGCTCTCCCCAAAACACACGGCCAGCACTTCTTCATAACACAGTATGAAGAGGAGGCCAGCGGAGAAGAGCTGATGGAGCTTTAGAGGGACGTGACAGCCTCTGATCTGGGAGGATGTAGCCACAAACAGCCGGAGAGGATCGGTGTAGGCTGGCTCAGGGAAGGCGCAGGATCTCCCCATGGCTTAGGCAGCACAAACGGTCCAGCGGTCAGAAGCTGGGGCTGCATCAGGAAGGAGCTGGCTGAAGTTTAGCTGGCAGCCCTAATTTTGAGGTTGGCTGCTTCGTTTATAATTAAATATTAAATTGCACACCTCTGACTCAAGACTGTGCGGTGAAGGAATTGGCGTTAATTGTACCGACCGGTTGGAAAACCGGGGATGCAAAACCAGGAATGCTGGTGCAGGAGCAGTCATGTTTAGAAAGTTTAAAGATGCGTTAATGGTCTTACTGATGCTTCTTTTAACTGGAGAGACAGCACGTGCATCTTGGAGTTAGGCTGTTGGAGCTTCATGAGAGCTCGTTTTCCTGGAAAAAGCATCTTTGGAATGTTAGATCCATATGCAAAGGCAGGAAGAAAAGTTTTGGATGCTTATCTTGAATTAAAATTGCTGAGCCTAGAGTATTATTTGTAATCAGTACAGCTCTATTTGGAATCCATGTAGAGCAGTGGCTATTTCCAATTTTAAAGAAAATAAGTTGCAGAAGAATAGTTTGGGTTCTACATTGTTCTTGGAGAAATCAGTGAGTCCAGCAAGGAGGGGGTCTGATGCCAGTAGCTCTAAGTGGTAATTTAGTGGCTGGGGCATTGTAAGATATACAGGACAGAGACTGATGGTGGTTTTGCACAGAAGTTAAGCCAGCTTTTTAAAATATGTTGTTAAGCTGATGAAACTTCTGTGTGGAAGTGCTTACATTACATTAACAGTGTAAAGTATTTATACTGACGGTTGCCAAGTTTTAAAATGGATTTTATTTGAAGAAGAATACCTTTTGTGCCCATAGCTTTGCCTCCACACAAATCAAGATGAAGAAGTGGTGTTTGTTGGTTGGTTATGGATCAGTGCTTTGGCTTCTTTTTAAAGACAGGTAGTTAAGCTTTTAGCACTCTCCTTTGATAAACGAACAGTGTTTTCTCCCCTCCTCCAGCAAACAAAACCTTGTTTTGTTGTGATTTTTATTTGAGTTACAGAATATTTCCTCTTAAAAGCGCAGAAGGGGGATTATATCTCCTCCTTTTGGTGCTGGGGGGATTCAGGTTGGACATGGGGGAAAAAAGTCTTGGGAGCATGATGCAGTCCAGGAACACATCACCAGAGGGAAGGGAATCTCTGTCCTTAGAAGGCTGAGTGGGTTGGACTGAGCCACGGCCTGACTGGTCCAGTGCTGGCAATGGTCCTGTTTTGTTGTGCACTTACAATGATGGCACAGATCATGAAATACTGTATTTTGAGTCTGACTGGTTTGGG